TCCATCTGCCAGTTGAAAAACGACCTAAATGTCTACAGTGGCTTTCTGGTAAGCAACATCATCTTGTCCTAGTCAGTGCACCAAAATCTTGAATGCTTGGTCAGAAGGCAGAAAGAATAATTTTTCCTAGAATCCTTTTTCCTTATGAAGTTTTACTATGCTGTATACAGCATGTCTGAGATCATTTGCTTCATCACATGGTCCTGAAAACAAAACCTTGCATACCTGTACAAAACAGTCCAATATGTGGATATATACGGTCACCTAATTTTTGTGGTGTTGAGTCATTCCAAGATGTTGACTCAATAAAAGCCATGTAGGATTGTGAAGACCAAATGCATGCAGTTTGATACCCTGGAAGGCAGAAATACAAAGACACCATTGCTTCACTTTCTGCCCAAGAAGTGGAACATGTCAATCAAAGAAGTCCATGACTTTTCATAAATTATGAAATAATTAATTCAGGCAATATTGAAAAGCAAAACTTTAATATTTTTTTTCAATTTGAACTCAACTATCAATCTAACAATTCAATGAAAATGTTGATGAAAGTCTGATTAAACAAGACTTTCTGTTTAATTACTGAGCTCATTTTGCCTTTAGCTATTTATAACATGTGCTTAATCCAATTGATTAAGGTGTTTTAAGATTTCCCTAATATTTTTGTAGTGCTTTCAAATCCTCAAAATCCATATATTTGTCTAAGATGTATTATAATTGCCTCACACGTTTTTTTCTATGTATTACAGCTACAACAACAAAATATGTTCAGATACTCTTCTACTGTGCTCTGTCAGACCTGGACATAGACATGGAACCCACAGCAGCTAAGAGTAAATAGAGTTGCCTTGACATTGAGAGTTCTGCCTTGACATTTCCTATCTGGAGCAATTTTTGTCATCTGAAGTTCTGCCCATGTGTTCAGTTATACTAAAGCACTAACCACGGTACTATGCATCAGTTTGATGTCTGTTAATATGTGCTTTTTTTATAAACCACTCTGTTTTACAGGATTTTTTAAAAAAATTCTTAAAATTTTATCTTTAAAAACAAATTTTAAAAAATTGTTCATAGTGAGTTATCATGTAACACTTTGAAACTATGAAGCACTGTATGAACAAACATTTATTAGTCGAAAAGTGCTAAATATTGGATCCATTAATTGCAAAACTGTAATAAAAAGTATCAGGTCTAGTCACAATCCTAAGAAATAAATTGGTAAATATTACAAAAGACAGACCAGATATTTGCAAGATTCAGAACCCAAGTTGGGAAGTAGAAGCCACAGTGTACTTCCAAAAATGTAACCAAATTCTTAGCCAAAGTAAAAAATATACAATTCAAACTGGTAGACATGCTTTAAGTCAATGTAGTATTAATGGTAAACTATTCTGATGCGTAATTCCTGGCATACATGTTGAACCAAAAGGAGAAAACCAAAGTTTTCAGCCATTTAAATCCTGTTAGAAATTCTCATTTTATAATATCCCACATTCATTACCCTTTTGCAGAACAGGAGTTTTCAACAAACATATTATACCATTGTAACTGAAGGACTTTTGCTTTCCAGCAGAACAACCTGCTGTGGAACACTGTAAGGACTCATGTTCCACGAGTCATGTTCCAGCTAGAGTACATTCAGGGAAAAGACTTCACCTTTTCGTGGTGTCCATTGCTTGCCTAGAAGTACCAAAGGTGGTACCCCATGAATCACACTAAGTTTTTCCATGGTGGAATTTATTTAAGTAATTCACAAGGAGAAATTAAAAACTACTGATGCTTACAAAATCCCTTGAGCCCCTGCCCAACCCTTCAGGCCTCAGCAGTTCCTGCTGGTGAGGTCTCCTACTGAGCACGCAGAGAGCTTCCAGCACTGGCTGCCAGGTCTTCACATCACGTAGGTGCCCGTTGCACAACACCCAGCACAGGCACGTGCACTGGAGAAGTGCGCTCACCAGTGGGTGCCATGAAAGAAAAGGGCAGTTAAGAGCTAGGATCAGTCTTTTGAACATTAAGTTTTTCAGTGTGGCACACAGGAATGTGCAACTTGTCCAAATTCTTAATCTCCTGAAATGGAAGAGACAATAACTGTCATTAAAAAGAAGCCATTAGCCTTGCAACCTAGACCATAAAAGCAACTTCTCCAGCTCTAATATTGTTTGCTGATATGTAGTACCATTTGTTACCCTTGTTGGCAAGTCATACTTCCTTTCTGTAATTACATTTGAATATAACATGTATTGTTTCTAATTTGAGTTTCATTACTCCTATTCAATGAACCCAAATTAAGGTAATTTAAACTTATACAAGTCCCTGTAGCTTCTAGCATTATTGTCTTTTCATAGAATCATAGAATGGTTTAGGTTGGAAGGGACCTTGTATTGATGTCTGCCCAGAGAAAGAACAATGGAATAGGGAAGGCGGCAATCATTGCTACTTAAACATCTCTTCGTTCCCTCCTCCCATGGTAAGGCCATTTGCAGGACTGTAATTTCATGCATCTCCAACACAGTCTTTGCTGACAGAGCTCCTGTGAAACCTTCTATTTGCATTTCAATGCCGTTCTACTGTGGCAGTTTCCTTTTGGTGGGGTTTTCTTTTGGTACAAAGTATGAGTAATAAAAGTGCACTAAATTAAGGTAAAAATGAAGATATTAGAGATACACATTTTGCTTTTTGGAAGCCACAACTTTTAAGCAATAGAATCACTTAAGCATCACAATCTCAAAACACAAAGAGGAAAGAAGACCTGGGGTGTAGCTGAGTTTGCCCAGCTCACAACATCCTCATGTACTCTTCACGCACACAACACATGCCTCTGGTAGAGTATAGAGCCATTTTGATCATGCTCTACGATTGTATGGAAATATTGCATTTTCGCCCCATCTTTTGCAAAGCACTGGTTAATGACAGAGCCACAGTTGCAGACAGCATCAGGACACAAGGACAGTATAAACCCTACAAGTCAGTACCAAACTGTCTACCTCCACAGAGTTCAAAGTCATGCTTGGTGCTGAGCTATGTGTCACACCAGGACAGCATTGTACCATCCTCTGAAGATTTTCCTTGCAGGACCAAAGTTCCTAGGTGATTTGAGACACCTGAGGTGACATCTCAGGTGGTGACAGATAGCAGGCACTACAGGTAGTGTAATAAGGGCTATGGACTAAGACCATTTCTGTAGAGAATTCTGACCTGAGAAACTTCTTTGTCTGTTTTTTGCCAAAATCTGGTTTTGCATGAATCTGTTAACTTTCTGGGCATGACGCAGAAGCCTTCATTTTCTTTCTTTCTGCACAGAAAGAAAGTAGCAGTCAGATACAAGGTTATAAATGTGAATAATGTTGAAATTCTCTATGGACGTCAGAATCTCAGAAACATTAATGTTTTTGTTGATTTTTCACTCCTTACAAATAATACATGTAAGTTATTGTGAAATACCTAAAGCAAGTCATAGATGCTGAAGTATTTAAATAAATAAACATCTGATCCTTGGCAAATGCTATAGTTGTGTGGTTTTAAATCATAAAAATAGTATTGTGAATTAAATTTGCCCTGCCTTACATCTCGCAAGTTGGTTTCCCAGGAGAGCAATAAGACTCTAACTTTTATTTGTGTTCTCTATAACACAACAAAATAAGCATTTATGGATGGCAAAAATTCTGGTTATTCCAGGTGGGGCTTTTTCTCAATGCAGTTATTAGTTATTCTTTACCCAAATGCTTTCTTGATCTAAGGGTAACCACACCTTTGTACACTATTCACAGATGCTCAATTATTCAGGCAAACAATAAACACTTTTTCAGATCTTGCATCCAGGTTAAGTATCCCATCATTACATAACAAAACATAAGGAGGAGGCTGTTTGACATGTAGTTTATCAGCTGGCATCTCTGTGGCGGCAGGGATTGGGGTATGGATAACACGGGGAGCCTGTGGAAGACGTAACCCATGGAGGTGAGTAAGGGGATCCTGGCAGGCTGCAGGGGCAAGAGAGCCTGGAGAACAGCTCACCTGCAGAGCTGGGAAGGGTCTTTCAGGGGCAAATGCTGGGACAATACGGTACTTGGGAGTAGTATAACCTCCTCGGGAATCAAGAAAATACAGGATTCTTGCTTTTTGTTGAGAATCACTGTTCTTTGAATAAAAATGGGAGAACTGGTATCAGATTCCATTTCTGTGCCAGCAAAGGAAAACAGAAGTTGGTGTCAATAGAGGAAAGACTATCGGCCATAGAAAGTATGAAGGTGCCTGGGCTTTGCATGAGCCTGAAGAGCTGTAAGGGCTGTTGTGTGATCCCTGGGTACAGAGGTGAAGAAATGCCTTCGCACATTAGGTAGGACGAGGATACTGAAGTGTGAAACAACCTGAGAGACGCACAACCTGACACTGGGCCAGGTCACAGCTCTGCTACAGGACAAAGTGCCTTCGGCGTATGTGTGACTTAAAACTGGAGACACTTCCTAAAGATCTTTTTTTGAAATTTACCTTTGTTGTGTAACAGGAACTTTAGAAGTATTATTGCACAATCTTTGAATCTGTAGTACTAGATCTGCCAAGTCCCCGTTCTCAAGCTGATAAGCTATCAGGTTTTGTAAATCTTCCTTTTTTTTTTTTTTTTTTTCCACAGGATTGATTTGTGGCTTATGAGGAGTGGCAGCCAAGCAACTATGTGAAGTGCTATAATTTTGCAAGTGGCTCAATAGCTCTAAAATTAAAAAAAAAAAAAAAAAAGAAAGGCAAATGAGGAAAATAAAATGCAAACCTAAACAAGATGCCACAAAATAACAGGAGAATGACTTCTTTGACTTATACATCAGAAGCCTGGATTATAACCACAAGAAATTAGAAGTGCTTATCTAGGAATACACATTTAATGTAATGGATGTCACTGTAAAACATGAAAGATTAATAGGCTACAGGAATATCTGGTTATTAGCTACCTAGAAAGGTCAGTATTAGATTCAAAGGAAGGGAGTGGAATTTGGTTTACATGATCATGGTTTTGGAACAGGAGAGGTCAACATTAAAGCAAAGGACCATGAGTCGACCCTTTTCTAACAGGTAGACTAAATGAAAATTAATTGATCCATGCTACAATTCTTAACATGAGAAGGAACTTCTTTACTTTGAGGGTAGTGGAGCACTGGAACAGGCTGCCCAGAGAGGTGGTGGAGTCTCCCACTCTGGAGACATTCAAAACCCGCCTGGACGCTGTCCTGTGTAACGTGCTGTAGGTGTCCCTGCTCTGGCAGGAGGGTTGGACTAGATGATCTCCAGAGGTCCCTTCCAACCCTAACAATTCTGTGAATTCTGTGAATTCTGTGAATTCTGTGAAAAAGCAAAGCAGAAATAAGTAGGTCTTTAGAGAGCTCATCACCCAAAATGTGATATGTGTCAAATGATGGAACTGAATACATTTTGGCATACAAACTCAACAAAGATTAATTCAGCAATATATTTACTTAGTGCTCAGAAATGTTCATTTCACAGAGCCAAAAATAACTGTGAGCCACACCTGCTGGAGGGAGGGCAAAGAGAGTTTAAATTGGAAAAAAAAAAAAAATGGTTGGGGCTGTTTAAGAACATTCTACCTACATGCAGACACTGGAAAAAAGAAAGGAACATGCACTAGTTTAAAACTCTAATAAATCCTTCCTTTTTAGAGGGGAACTGTGAAGAGTCATTTAGAAATAGAACAAAGGCAAATTTGATGGTAATGACCATAAGTTCAGGACAAGCTGCTGAACAAGGTGCCCAACCTATTTAGATGTGCTTCTATAACAGCTCAAAAGAAGAATTGCAGAACCTGGTTGCAATGACACAGTAGGTGTTTGGGTC